TTTGCCCATGCAACGCAAAGCAACAGATTCACCTAATGGGCAGCCCATCAGTTGCTTATCACCTTTCCATCACTCTTCAGTCACTCTATTCTGGGAGCAAAGAGAGGAAGCCCTTTCAAGTTGCTCACAGAGCTAAGAACTCTCTCCCCATAGGACAGGACCGGTTGCCCAAGTGGTCAATTATCATGCACCAGCACTGTCATGTGAGAGAAAGAAGATTGAGGCACATGCTCCCGCAAGCCCAGAATTACCTGTTTTTCTTTCCTTCCAGCAGCCAAATGGAGCTGCATGGGAGTGAAGTTTGTGTTGCTGGTGGGGCTGCCTGGTACTTTGCACTTCATGGACAAAGCAAAGACCCATTTTAATCTGGCCAATTGTTCAAATACAAAGCAAGAAGCCATTTTGTATGCAATTCCAAATATTAAAGAAAACATGGGCAAAGAACATGTTTGCTATGACTGACAATATTTACCCAAAAGTGATACTTTATAGGATAGGTGATGTTCACATGAATCATCTTCTTACCTACCAGCATCCATCGTCATTCCTTACTGAACCTTGTGTGTACAGAATTAATGACCAAAGAGTCAGCACTTAGAATACCACAATCGCTGTGTGAACAAATTGGTGATGTTTTGTTATGGTACATATAGAGGTTTACTTATAAAATTGGTGAAAACAAAACAGATTTTTGCTTCCCTGTTTCACTGCAAAATTTTCTCCAGTTTCTCATCTGAAACAAAAAGGTGGGACGTTGAATTGGGAAAAAAAAAATAACACCAAAACATGGCAAAGCTGAACAAAATGATCACTCCTACTTTAAGAAATGTTCCTTCTCTAATTTTCCTCCACTGGAAAAACTCATGTTTGGGGTGGCATCAACAGTTACCTAAGGCTACTTTCAAGGCATACAATGGGGAACTTTGGTAGCTGCATCTAATATAGTCAATACTTTATCCTCCCCAATCCGTAAATTGGTAAAAGGACCCTTTTTAGCTTCTTTAAAAAAGTTCACAGAAGGTGCCCTTAGAGCCCACATCCCTGCATCAAGGAGTATATACTACCCTTTGTCCCTTTTTGACCTACAAATAGAGAGTACCTCTATGTGGAATTGGCCTTTTAAAGCATTGGGCTGCCATAGATGATAGTCCTCTCACCCTTCCAGTGGAAAATCCTTCTCCAACATAATGGAGAAGAGTTTGTGTCCTCACACTGGGGAGGAGGGGACTGTTACTGGAGTATGTTCGTTCTTCAAGATAAATGTTTAGTATGTGCACTTGCATATAATCTGGAGTTCTACATTTAGAAACTTGGAACCCTTCAAAGTATAACATTTGCCTGACCCTTCAAGGGGCAAGTCAACTAAAACAGTTGAGAACCAATAAATAGGACAACTAATTGAGGAAGGAATGATCTTTGTGGCTGGCAGTAACCAATCTGATACTTCCTTTTATGGCAGGAGAATATAGAGAATATAGAGCCTTCTGATTAGCTGCTATGGCAAAATGGCTCTTCCTTCAGTCACTTGAATCCATTAGGCCCACCAAAAACTTGATGGACCAAAAGATTTGTCACCTGGAGACAAGGCAATCAAACATATTATAGGATTAGCGTTATTCTCTTACATGTAACACATGGCCAATACATAGGATTCCATCTTCTTAGACAACCATGACAGTTCTGTAAGGATGGAAGTCTCATGTATTTAAACCAAAGTGTGATGAAGTCAGTCAGCTTTTATTTTGCTAGATTCAACAAGTAAAATGACAAAGTAAAAATAATATTAAATCTCATAAAATATTAAAGGATATTTAACAGAAAAACTTGTGCTATAAGAGAGGTAAAGTTAAGTAACTCCATTCAACCAGTCAGAAAAGATCTTTCACTGATTTGACCACTGTGAAGGCAAATCTGAGTGGCAGCCATGAGTCTGTACATTACCATTGATCTTTAGTTTTTTTGTTGTTTTTGGAGTTATTATTGCTAATGGAGGATACTCTTTAGCAACCTATCGCTAATCAGTAGGTTTCAAGTCCAGAAATGTAGTCTCGGTTACTCTCTTTAAACTTCAACTCCAGCCAAAACGATTTTACTTTAGTTTTTGATGTGTGGAAGGGAGGCTTACAACACCAGTTTTCATTACTGCCTGTGTGCCTGCTGTGAAGAATTCCCTTCCTGTCTAGGTGACACCACACAAAAAAAAAAAGAGGGGAACAGAAGCCAATGCAAAAGCAAAACAACAGCAGCAAAAAATAATTTCCAGTTTAATTTATGTACTTATTTATTTTTTGCTCTCTTTGTTCCCATTGGAGAGAATTCCTATCAATTCTGTATTTGTGACACCCTACTAAGCAGACAGGAAATCAGGGAAAACTCACCATTTGGGACAAAGACAGCAAAACAAACCTAAAAGGCGGATTTACCCTTTGAATGGCCCTTTCCAAAATGAGATTAGGTTTTGGGCTGAAGGTAGACTTTCAAACTTCCAGATGGTCAACAAAACAGCGGACAACTTTCTAATGTGTGCAGTTTGTCATGAGGGACCTTGTCATCCTGTAAATCTGAAAACCTGTCTGGCATTAGTAGGTTGCTAATTCACCAATGAAACACATTTCCATAAATAAAAAATTAAAGCTTTTTTGACAATATCGTATCCCAAGAACAGTCTGTTTATTTCTGGTGACACACTGAACAGTCTACAAATGTCTTAAACCACATGGGCTCAGTCCTGAATTATATGTGAAAAGTTTGAATCAAAGACTCCAACCCCCCCAATACCAAAACCTCAATAAACAAGAGAGGAAAAAAAAAGGCCAGTTCCACTGAAAACTGAATTCTTAGTATTAGGTAGATTATGAGGTACATTTACGCACCTAAATTTATCCTTCAAGGACTCCAGTGTGATCTTTCCCCTGTAGTACCCACCTCTGCCTCCCTTACCATCCTACTTGACTTTAGAACGGAGAACTATAGAAGGAAGATCTCATCACTGGAAGCAATGAGTTAAGCCCATCACTACCCAACCAAAACTGAAAAATAGGAGTGCTTGGGCAATATTCTAAAAAAGCTAAATAAAATATAATAATATTTTATAATAGTAAGAGAAAAACATATCAGTAGTTACAAGAGGAAAAGACAGACATACAACAGCTCAATATATATCTCAGCTTGTGCAAATAGAGAGTAAAATGACTATTATTGTCACCTGCCAATAGGGGTAACAATCAACACAAAGTGCAATGTGAAAAAAAAGTCTGCACTATATAGGATACAAAAAATATTCTGGCTGACAGGATACTGTACCAGATATTGTACGGTTTTGACATTTTTGTTTTTGTGCACCTGTTGCACAGTGAATGCATCCATTCTATATAGGCCAAACCAATGCCTGTATTAACAAGATAGTGATGTTAGTGCCGGAGGTGCATATGCATGCAATCTGTTCTGAGATATATTGGTCCACTCCTACACAATGGTTCCTTCTTTGGATGGTCAAATGTGTGGACACATACACGCTTCAGTCTGGAGACTACAGAACTAGTCTGGATGTTGATCTGTTGTAATCAATTTAGGATAGCCAAAGCAGCTGTACTTGTGGCCACTTTAAGCCACTTTGCTGTAAGCTTTCGATCACAACTAATGCTCTACAGTGTAGACAGGTTCCTTTAATAACATCTGCTTCTATAACAATTAGGGCTGGACAGATCTTATATGGGATGCCAGGAAAGGTCAGGGAAGCTCCTTTGTTATACATCAAGGAGCTCCTCTTGACCCTAGTAAGCACTCACTGACACAAGTTAGTTAACACCTTCACAACTAGCTTTGTTGGCCAAGCCTGGATTCCTTGACCCTATTAAGCACTTGCTGACCCACGTTAGTTAACGCCTTCACAATTAGTAATGTTGCTCAAGCCTGGAATCGTTGACCCTAGTAAGAACTCACTGACCCTAGTTAGTTAATGCCTTCACAAGTAGCTATGTTAGCCAAGCCTGGATTGAAAGTCTCATAATAAGACTTACCTGACTTTTCATAGTCTGCCAGCAGCTCTGATATGTTCCCTCTGCGACACGGGCATTCTTGGTGCATGAAGGGATACGTATACGGAATGTATATTCAGAGATGGATGCCTGCTGACTTTTCAGAACGCCATAATGCAAAAGAGCAAAAAATATTTAAGATCTGCTGGTGGTGGCCTATTTTTTTTCTAGCAGAACTACCCCCAAAACATTTAGGAATCCCACAAGCCTTGTGCAGGCATGCTCTTCATGGGCTTACCGTGGCCTCACAAATGTATTTTAGTTGTAATACTATACAACAATATACACACAATATTTCCAGTAGTATAGTTATTCCCATTTATGGGTGTGGACTACTTTTGTAATAAAAGCCTTTTTACTGGTCTGAGTGATGGTGGAACGCCACTCAACGGAAAATAACGGATACAGCGTATATGTATACATACACAATATTTAGGCATATAAAAGTGCAAAGGTATATTAAGGAAGGCAGATCTGCAGCTTCCTTTAATTATAACTGATAAATATATATATTTGCAATTGGAGGATTTAATTTCAGTCCTGACTCTGCATTTGTCTATAAGTCAACGTCAGCTCGAGGATGGGTATATGTGAAGCACAATGACAATGGGACGATCAAGGTAGCAGTTAGATTTGAGTGATTTGAAAGAAGAAAATCAAAATCTCTGCAGGTTTCTAGAATCCTTCATTCCTCAGCAAGGGAAATACTTGACAGTGAAAGGAAAGGAGTTTCAGTATCCAGACAAAATACAATCCCATCATATATATATATATAATATATAACAGTCTTTTAATTTATCACCGTCGATTGAGTGGGCTGGCTGGAAAGAAGTCCTATGGCCAAAAAAAATTGACCGTGTTCAGGAAAATCTCAGTACGTTGGAATTTTGTAGTTCCCTTCTCACAAGGTTCCTTTTCAGAACTGGATTTTGGTTTTGTGTTCAAGTCTGGAGGTGGAGGTTGCTAATGAGGATGGTGAGAGGAGTGATGGAGAGTTGAGTCATCAAAAAGTGGGTTTTTCACCTCCATTTCTCCTGTCTGGAAAAATAAAAAGGCTCTGTTATATTTTCCATAGAATTGGGTTTATACACAATATAGCAGACCTATCTATCACTTTAGGTGTAGGTAAATAATTTAAATTTAGTCAATAGAGGAAGGGAAGCTTTTTTTTTTTTTTATTGCTGTCTGTGTCTCCTCACCTATTTGTCCTGGTGACAATTATCTCTGAAAATACAAAAAGTGATGGAAAATCCACAATGTTTAAGTTGTCACAGGAATGGGAGGTGATGGGAAATCTTCCAATAGGGAGACCTTTACTGATGAACATTGTCTACAGCCGGCTACAGATTATCAATTTTCCTTCCTGCAACCTCAGGTTGCAGATATGAAATTCGCCCTATGCGGAGCTATTGTGTTCTCCCGGAGGGACAACACAGTGATTACTGCTAGTGGCTATAGCCAATGGGAATAACTGCATGCTAAAAATCCAACATGCTGGTTGTAGCCAAGTCGATCGATGTATCAACTTGGGTACAACATCCTGCCCATTGATGGATCAAATCCATCTATGGCCAGAGGGATTATCCCCTTGATTTAGAGAGATCTCTTAAGCCAGCCATAGATGAATCGAACCCCTGCTGAACCTGTACATCTAAGGGCACGTTGGTTGTACTGAAGTTGATCCATCAATCGACTTCATGTGTACAACCGGCCTGTCAGATTATTATTGCATACGGTCATGGACTGAATGCTTCTGCACGGACAGCTCCTTCAGAATCAAAATAGGAACAAGAAGCAGTTCCCCCTTCACTTCTTCTTGGCAAGCAGTCATTGCCACCTATGAAGAGCTTCAGTTCGCCCCGCCACCCTCCTGCTAAGCCTTTGTGAATGCAGCACTTTACCTTGTGACAAGTGTCATCAAAGGAGGCTTCGCTCTGTAAAGGGACTGTATCCCACTGGGTCAGGCTGCAAGAGTCACAGAGCCAGCAAAGCCTTGTCCCTTTATCCAATAATGTCACACCGCACAAGAAACACAGCGCTCCATGCAGAGGGAAATTGTATAATGATACGATGCGCGTGAAAGAGGATTACTGACTTAATCTGACCCAGGGTGAATTTATCCATGTAAGGAGAAGCTGGACTGTGTATTCAGGGAGCGCACATCCAGACCTGTCAACGTACTGCTTACCTGAAAGCAGTTTTTATTGTGACATTCACTTGTTACTCTCCATTATTGTTATTCAATTTTAATCAATTGTGAATTCCATATCTGTACATACAAATTATAAATGCCCTCCCAGTGGTCATATGTATATCCAGCAATGTGTTAAAGCAGGGGTGTAAAACTGGCGGCCCTCCAGCTGTTGCAAAACTACAAGTCCCATCATGCCTCTGCCTTTGGGAGTCATGATTGTAACTGTCAATCTTGCAATGCCTCATGGGACTTGTAGTTTGGCAACAGCTGGAGGGCTGCCGGTTTGGCACCTGTGTGTTAAAGGATAAGTTCACCTTTGTAACATGTTACATGTTCTACCTCCCCTTTTTAGGGTGGAATATGAAATATGCTCCCATAGCTGCAGCCACACCCGCCGCCCCTCTCCCTCTGACAGATAATATGGGGAGAAGTCTCCCCATGCTATCTGTCAGATTTGAAAACAGCGCAGCCGTGCAGACCTCCACACACACAGCCACGTCATTCATTCAGGGACTTCCGTGAATGAATGAACTGTATGTCCCAACAACCTTAGTGTCTGTGGGCTTGTAGTTTTCAATTAACTACCACGGAGCTGTGGAGCACTATGGTAGTTCATTGAAGCTTCCTGTCAGAACGTCTGCTTGATCGTACATCCCGTACAGCTAGCAGATATTCTGACAGGTCTGCAGGAGACCTGCATGGCATCAGCCATCTACTGATCGCTGATGCAATGCTTTACAGGCTTCTTTGGACAAATATAATAAATGCACATTTTGTTACCTGCAAAAAATGTGTATTTATTATTTTTGTCCAAAAGGTGAACTTATCCTTTAAAGAAAAGAGGAGAGAAACAAAAAGGCTGCCACTGTGGACTTCACTTACGGAAAATGCTAGGTGCCTGGCTGTCATGCTAACTCACCATTGTAAGTACTTTTTGAATCATTGACATAGAGAGAACATGCAGACCACTGCACCTACTTCACTTGCCACATGCTTGCTTGGGGTCAGTGATGTGCTATAGCCAGAGACAGCCAAGAAGCTAGCATTTTCAGAAGAAGTTTGCACTGACCATCTACATTATTTCCGCAGTACAAATTATTGGGGATGGTTTACTAATACTGGAGAGTACAAAATCTGTAGCCAATCAGCTTTGAATTTCAGCTTGTTCAATTAAGCTCTGACAATAAAAAAATGGAAGCCGATTGGTTTCTATGCAGATCTGCACCAGACTGTGCACTCTCCAGTTTTATATCAACCTCACTTTATGCAGAGTCTTCCCATCTCAACAGCTGTTTTGAGGGGATTAATTAAAATTACCTGGCAGCATGTAGAATTCACGATCAGTCCTATACAGATAGCTACATTTTTAAAAAATGTGTGTACATTTACCTGTGCTAAGTACGCACCTTTAAATGGTAAATGTCCAAAACACAGGGTATCTATTTACAAATGATTCACAAAACGTTCACCTAAAATTCACACAGTTTTTCAATCAAACCCAAATATAAAATGTGTGAATCTTGGATGGAAGCTGCATGAATCCTGGGTGAAAACTGTTACAAACAGACCCCCAACCCCCAGGTATTATACAGTTTTTCAAGCATTTACACCATGGAAATCGCCTTTCTGAGATTCTCCCTCACTTTCCACAGCGAATGAACAAAATATAAAATGCACAAGGGTAATCACATGCAGAAATGCTCATCTAAATACACAATACTGCATATGCAAAATGCCCTCAACCATTGACAGCTCCATATACTGGCTCATTAACAAAATCTCTATATTTATTACATTAACAAAAATATTGCAAATCAAAAGTGAAAAAAAAGGCTAAAAATTACATCTAAATTTCAGAAAAACGCTACAATAAAAAGTGAGATCAGCTCACTAAAAATTTTTTGTACTTTTCAACTGACCCAGCTGCAGAACTATGTGACAATTTACAAAGTACTCACAGGGGCTAATCCGGGACATTCATATACAGTGAAATCGCCATCTTCATTCTCCTCGTCTGATGTGACGGCTGAATCTGGGTGCTTCAGCTCATCCTTATTTCTTAAAAAAATAAATAAGATTTAATATAGACATGATCCAATACTGGAAGGCATTCCCCAACAAACACATTCTAAATTAGTTTTTCTGAGCACTCACTTCTCCATGGATATCATCTGCTGTTTCTGGTGTTGGTAATGGTACATTTGAGCATTCTGAGCCAATTTCTTATCTCCAGGCTGGAAAACAAACAAAACAAGAAGAATTAAATATGGGAGGGAGACGTGTTGCTCATAAATTAAAAGCGGATCCCAGTCATCCCTTAATGCTATTATAATATCGGGGATACCGGGTTGAAAGAGTCAAAAGTAACAGAAGGTATAAAATTTTTTTTTCAAGAAAAAATGCTCCCCTTCTTTTAGTGCTGGACACACTACTGAATGCCTTGGCACTTGGTCATGGGATGACTGCTGATGCCAGGGACTGGAGCGCAGACTGGCTGATCTTCCTTTTCAGCAAAGAACCTGTGACCCAAGGCCTCATGTACACTGCAGCTCCTAAACTGACGTTCAGGAGCTGTTCAGCGTTTTTTTTTCAGCAGCCCATGAACTCTCCCTAATGTTTTCCTATGTGTCCATGTACACTATGTCGTTTACAGGCAGTTGAGTTTACAGTCGTTTTTTTTTGAACGCACCAAACTTGTGTTCAGGAGTAGATCTTACTGGTGTTACAAAACGCCAAATGCTTGCAAATGCATGTAAACGTGGTTAACCACGTTTATAAACGGTTGCGTTTAGAAGCGTTTTTTAATTGTTCCATGTCCAGATGCTGACCAGAGTTTTTTTAATCATCAGAAATGCATGCAAAGTGTTTTCCATGTATTCAAATGGACCTGGCACACCAGTGCAGTCAGTTCCAGGTTTCGTGTGAAGGAAAAAAATGGTAGAAAATGCTGCATTATGCTCATGATGGGATCCATAGTGAATACAACCAGAAAAGACAGGTCATCTCAGCACATACTGCTCTCTCTATTCCTCTCACAATGTCTGAAATAGTTAATTTTTTACTATTTTTCAGTGCATTCTGGGCATTTGGGAAGGTCTCCTGAGGTTATCTTTTAAAAACGCTTCTAAACGTGCATAAACATGGTATGCAAACGCGGCTAAACTGACTTTTTTAACCTACGTTTTCCAGCAGTCAGTATCCAGCGTTTAAAGGAGTTTTCCAAACGCCCCATGTACATAGAGCCCTAAGATCTAGGCTTGATTATCTGAGCAGCACTAGGAGGAGACCACTACAGCACCAGGAAAGATAAACATTTCAGCCCTTCTGTTGCTCCTCAATTATCCATCCACAGAAGATGATGAACATAGTTTAATTTTCAAACCCGAGCATAGCTGCAATTTAAAGTGGATCTGTAATCGGAAGCTAGTCTCAGACATCAAATGATCAGACACAGCCATTCTTGGATCAGCTTCAGCCATAACCAGGAATGTTCTGCTTACACAAGCATTTCTGCTTAAAGTGGTTGTAAACTTCAGACATGAAATATGAACCTATCCCTCTATAGTGTGTACTCAATAACAGCACTAAGTGTCATTCCTGTCTGCTGCTTCATTCATCTGCTATCAGCATGAATTACTTCTGAAGCGTTTTCCAGACACCAAGAGTAAAAAAAAATGGTGACGGGAAATGACCTCCAGCAGATTGACAGGTTCAGCTCTGTTTCTGTGAGCTGTATGGAAGGGGGGATGTCTCTTCCCTCCAATCAGCTCTCAGAGTTCTCCTCACTCTGCCGAGTGCAATTTCAGATCTCCGCCCTCTTTTTTCTGAACTCTCAGAAAGCTTTATAAATTCTGCCTTTTGAATGAATGTAGAGAAGTGAATACTGCAGATAAACAAGTACAATGTATGCTTCATCTCTATGTATCATCACTTCACTGGGTAATGTAAGGATTTACAACCATTTTAAGCTAAGAAGGAGAAGAGGCTTTACAAGCAGCTGGCAGTCCCACTGTATGGGGTGACAACAGCAAATCCTGATCATTTACCCTTTCTGAGATCTGGCGGAAAGACCATCTGAAGTTGCCCACTGATTTAGAGTGTTTCCAGATCCATCTGGACTATGGGAACTCTCATCTGAAGTTCATGAGCATCTGCACACTGAATTGAAGGCATGCTAAGAAAATTACTTTTTTCTTTAACAGGGCCCATCCATGGCGGCTCGGGTACCTTGTCACATGACCAATGACTGGTGTCAACAGACTATTCAAGAGTAGCTTCTTGTCTGAAGCCAAAACACTTGAGATATATCCTGACATGAATTAGCTATATCCTGACATGACATGAGGGTTTGCTCTATTAAAAAAATAAAACATTTTGTGGTTTTTACATTAGGCAAAATCAGGTGGCCGGATCTGCGTTTTTATCTACCACCTACCTAAAGCCTACAATGACAGCTGTAGGGGTTTGCACACATGCCTCAGCCTCCTGTTAAACCCGTCCACTGAGGTTAAAAAAAAAAAGAAAAGGGAAATCCACATATATATATATATATATATATATATATATATAAGCTGTCAATATCACCTCTTGGACGCTTACATACTGCAGCTCTACCTCCCTCCAAAAAGTGATCTACCACAGATTGCCGCCTATGTGGAAAGGGCTTAGGTGTGTAAGAAATACAGAGTTAGAAAAAAAAAAAAGAAAGAAAACTGCAAAAGTAATCCTTAAGAACTTCAAACAATGATAGTTTTAATTTATTTGACCCAAACACCAAAAAATATTACAGAACTGAATCATTGCCTGAAACTTGAATGACCACCAGAGAATGACCTAATAATTCTATATATGCACCCAGTTTTCATATTGTAAGGGGAAACTGTTACATTGGTTTAAGGTCAATTTTATTTTAATGGTTTTGTTTTTTAAGCGATTACATTTAATTCAAATTGTAAGCTTGAGTTACTGAACTCTGTAAACAAAAGGATTTTTTTTCAGCACAGCAGTTAGGAATATGAACATTTTATGTGTACAGTCTAAAAAATGACAAAACTATTTAAAATTGCTTTTTAGCACCTAACTATAAGAAAGAAAATATACGCAAACTCACTACACAACATTTTATTCAAGACATACAGGCGTAACTCGGTTTACGAATTTAATGAGTTCTCCGGGATGTTTCGTATTGCGAAAAATTCGTAAACTGAAACGCGGTTTCCCATAGGGATGCATTGAAAACCAATTCATCCATTGCAGAGGTCAGAAAAAAGTAAAAAAAAGTATTTTATCTGTTCAAAACTCTTTATGAAGTGCACTTTAAAGGCATAAATACTGTAAAGGGATATGATTAAAAAAAAATTCATAGATGCATTGAAAACCAGTTAATCCATTCTGGAGGTCAGAAAATTTTTTAAAAAAGTCTTATCTGTTCAAAACTCTTTATAAAGTGCACTTTACAGCATAAATACGGGGATAAAAAAAAAATTCTGGCGCTATAAACCTTCCAGGCGCAATGCATCCTGGGGGGCTGGCGCTAACTTATTTTGTATTGAAAAAACAATTTGTAAACCGAGGCATTATTTTCAATGGATTTTCATTCGCAAACCAAAAATTACATTAACCAAAGCATTTGACATTTTCCACTTGCTAAAAAATATCCCTGTGAGTGGGAAAAATCCCTTCCTTTTCTATAAAGTAGAAAAAAGGATCAAAGCATCCAATGTCCATTTTTGGTCCAAGATCACAGTGGGATTTGTGCTGACATAACTGAGGGCAAGCAGATATCTCCATGCCTTTTGTTGTATATATGTATTTATATTTACATACAGAATGTACAGCATATACTGTATATATAGCAGCCGATACAATACAACTTTATGTGAACCAGTCATTTTATTGTAATTTATAACATACCGATGTTTTTTCATACGGAGGAGGCGGTGACTGTCTATAGGCCGGATAATCTGTCTTCTCCGCCAATTTCATGTCTCGGCGCATTCTGTGAGACAGAAAAAAAAAGGAACATGTAAATATAAAATCTGTGAAATCACAGGCCCCCAGGGCCAGAAAGAAATTATTTATACTGTATTAGCAACCAGACTGCAGCTGTCATTTTTACAATCTGCACTAGAATGATAGAAGTTGGAAACTACTTGCTGCTGGGAACATGCAGAGCTCCTGGAAAAATTAGGAGGACACTTTGCTGCAATAGAATAAAATGGCAGCATCATTGGAAATCTACGAGTGTTCCCCCGCCTGTTGGGTTATCCTGCAGAACAAAATGCGGTGTGGACAATTTCCAGCATGTGGGATTGTGCTGAAATATGAGGGACATTTGCTTACTATGTCTCCTAGATTGTAAGCTCCAAGGATCAGGCCCTCCTATCCCTCTTGTATTGAACTGTATTGTTGCTGTATTGTCTCCCGTTATATTGTAAAGTGCTGAGCAAACTGTTGGCGCCATATAAATCCTGTATAATAATAATAATGACATGGATACTTTCCTATAATTGTTATATAGTAGACTGCATATATTTAAAGTGTATGTAAACCCTAACAATGAACTTCTCCTATTTACTACCTTTTGGTCTTCACACCCTGAGGACGGTGAGGAATACAGCCCCTAAAACCTGTTGGCTCTGTAAATAATTTGTCTTTGGAATACACTTGTACCCTGAATTGGAATGTTACGGTGTGATGCTTCAAGGATCGATTCACTCATACAGAGCAATTGGTATCTATGTTGTAGAGCTAATGGGAGGGTTTTAAAGCGGAACTTCACCCTCTTAGTCAGTATTGACTATTTGAATCCTTATACTGCTGGTATTAGTAAATAGATAGGAAAGTTTATTTACTTATTTTAACCTTTTTCTTTTACATGACTTTAGTTACTGCCTGGTTTCCATGCCTAGGCAAATGATGTTATACATACCAGCAGTCTTCAGGAGGGGATGAGGGGGTAAAGCACACTCTCCTGCCTGCATGCCTAGGCTAAGGGCAGATGGATTCCAGGAAGTAAATACTACATTAATCATCTGCTCTTAGATTGTAAGCTCCAAGGAGCAGGGCCCTCCTAACCCTCTTGTATTGAACTGTATTGTTGCTGTATTGTCTCCCTTTATATTGTAAAGTGCTGAGCAAACTGTTGGCGCTATATAAATCCTGTATAATAATAATCTGCCCTTACTTAAGATGGCCATGGCCAGAAATGCTAGGGGGTGTTCTTCAAAGTGATTTATCAGCAAAATAAAGCAATGAGACACGGGTGGGGGAGTTTGCTTTGAATATTAAAAAAAAAACAAATTAAGTAGAGTTTTTGATTTGTGGTGATCACATGAGGTGGTTCCCCTTTAAGTAGTTCAGCAGAAAACGGGGCAGGGCTGACACCACTCAAACTACAACAAAATTTAGGAGTGAAGTCTATTTCTGGTACATCAACACGTATTTTCTGTACTTGCATGGTCTTTAAAGGTAAAAACATGGAGACATTCGTATGTACTGCAGAGAAGTACCACATCCCCCCCCCCCCCCCCCCCCTTGACATACATTTTAACAGACTTCTATTACAGATTAGGCATTACCTGCACCAACATACACCAGCAACAGTCAAAGCTGTGAGACCGGCCCAGGGCACAGGCCACCACCACACCTGCCGAGACACAGATTGAAGAACAAGTTAATGAAGGGCTCCAATTTAAGTACTCCAGCAGTCGGTATACATTTTCACCTTATTGTTTTCATCTTTTTAATTCCATCGCATATGAATTTGAAGGAGGCATACGCTGAAAAACATACAGGATCTGCCGTTGCTGGCCTTCTTCTAAAAATGCTAGTTGTCTGACTATTATGCTGATCATGTGGCAACAATATTTAACTGGGACAAGTATGAAGATCAAAAGTCCCAACTTCACTGGCTGCATGCTTATTCTAGGTCAGTAACCCAGTAAATCAGATAGAAGCATGGTATCTGCTAAAAGTGAATCTGTTACATGATTTAAGTGCACAAACGATCCATACTGCTAGTGTAGGTTAATTTATTTACATTTTTTTTTGAGTGCACAGGGAATCCAACTCTATTGGATCCTCATCTATTGCTCTGACTTTGAGCCGATTTCCTCCTAAATACTTTTTGAGGGTGAATGGTGCACTTATACAAATATCAACCATAAGAAAGTCAGTATTTGCAGAGTAACCTCCACAGTTGACCTGGGTGGTGGTCATATTAGATGTGGGATCTGCTTTACGTCAGTAGAGTAGGGTTGGAGAAAAGAGCAGGCACCAACTTACTGGGGACAGAGAAGTGGGGGGGGGGAGTGACAAAAGTGATAGGGACCAATATTTTACCCTGTTTAATCACATGCCGACTTAACAGCAACAGGGACTGACACTGTTCTTGAATCTGGCCAGTAAGCTGCCATTGCTACTTCCACGTCTTGAAAATGCTGCCTACCTGCCATGCTGATCCAGTGGCTATAGTACTTTCTGTGATACTGAACTGAAAGAAAGATGTTCAGATACAGGAGTTCAGATGCAAAAAGTGTTGAAGCCATAGACAGCCAGGCAGCATTCTTAGAAATAGTGCAGCCCTTGTATTTCTCCCAGGACAGGTTCCCTTTAATCACCCAGCTCTCATGCTGAGTAGCCAGGTAGGTCTCATGCTATATGGCCATCAATGCACTTTACAAAAGAAGGTAACAAATTCTTTTGTCCTCCACTGTGCTTGCTGTATAATGGCCCTGAGATTCGTTTAATGTGAAGTCAGAAGTGGCAGAGCAAGTGGAGTAATGAGCACCTGTGGTTAGCAGGGAATGACTCTCTGCTGGGACTATTGTATCCCAATCAGAGAGCTCTCTTGGCTTTTAACAGATTTAATTGCTTTATTGTGTGGCCCAGCAGTCTTTCCTGCACCCTGTGCCTTTGACTTTAGACATGGACAAAACAACAGAGGTTCAGCATGGGGCAAGACAATTGCTGTTTGATGAATGAACTGCAATCTCTTTAGAATCAAACATGAAAAGCACAGAGCAGAGGGGGGTGTTATTATACACTAAGCACTTCCCTCACCCTCTGTCCAAAAGGATCAACATGTGGGGGGTCAGTGGCATGGCCTGTAGGGCAAATTGCAACTATAAGTCATTTCAGTTATGGGTGGACATAGTAAACTAAACTCCATTTGCCTCATTTGAAGTGAAATAAATTGTAGTATCGGTAGGGGGTGTTCCTTTAAATGGTTTCACAGGTTGGGTGGAGCTGGGAACTCACAAAGGGAGCTCGCAGTCAGGGTCCCAGAGAGATTAAAAAAAAAAAAAATCTGGTGTATTCTTTGATGCGTTACCTAATAACAGTGCGTCACCGGGAGGTCTTCGGGTAGTTTTAGGTGAGCCTGGACTGTTACTTCGGCCAGACGGTCCTTCAACTGGTGGATTGGGCGGAGGTGGAGGATTGGACGGTGTGGCATTGACTGCAGAGGAGAAAAAAAAAATCACATTTTAAATCACAAACAAAAAGGGGTGACTTTGGTTTCTTGGCGTTTGCGAACTATGCAGAGAGGAATTGGCGGCAGGCATTGGGAAATTATTTTATATGAACGATCTTGCAACAAAAGCATGCAAATAGGTTATAAATTTCAAGAGCATGCACCAGGCAGATCCACACAAAACACTGAAAGGAGAAGTCATTTAAAACAGGGGTGTCAACAATGAGTGCTGAAAGCACAACTACAGCCAATTTTGTTTTTTTTTTTTACAGAGTGAGAGAAGTGTAGAACCTCTGCTGGGACTTTATTGTGGTCTCTGACCCTGTTGGGTTGGATTAACTCTTCCTCAACTTAGCGAGAGTTGTTACCAGTACAGGAAATGAGGGAAATCTTCTCAGTGGGAACACAGACAACAATACAACTCGAGTTTGTAATGTATAACAGCAGATCTAAGATTAAAGTGCCACAACAATGGACTACTAATCCAAATACACTTTTATTCCATTAAAGTATCAAGTAGAAGATCAAAAAAGAGAAAAAACACCCCCTTCATTAAGGCTGAGAAAACAACAAATGGATGTCTAAATAAGTAACATGCACTCCGGGCCAGAAGAACACAACACTCACTGTGTTGATGGGGGAATCAAGCGATTTTCTTTTCTTCAACCCATGGTTGAAGGAAAGAAAATTACATAATGTATGGCCTGCTTAAAGCCGGCCATTTTTTTTTTTTTTTTAAGTCCGCGGAAGCGCGAAAAACAAAAACCCGTAAGTGAACAAAAAACGTGCTAGTGCAAAACCAACACAAAAAAGTGCACTTAGGGGTGTGCTTTGTCCACCCCCCGAAGGGGTAGGATCTCTACCCTGATCCAACGGGGCATGAAGCTCCTGACAGGGACTAGGTTTCCCATGTGGTCCACCTAGCCAAAAGGCTTGGCGGACCCCTTTCCTTGTGGCTAGCCTAAACCAGCCATCAAGTACTTGGTAAGGGGGCTCTCCCAAAGAGAAGCCACCCTAGGGACAGGGCAGGAAGGAACCAAAAGGCCACACATCCTCCCCCTAGACTTCAGGGTAGGCCCGAGGACCCACACCCTACCATCCGTGGGGAAAAAAACACACACATAAGTGAAAAGTGACAAAACGTGGGATAAAAATAAGTTGAACAAAAAATAAAAAAAGTGGCCGTGCAATTGTGCACTGGCTAGGCCCTGAGCCCCGTAGCATAAAAATTGCCCTGGACTTAGCCAAAAGGCCTAGCCCTAAAAGGCGCAGTGCAGAAAAAGTGTTTAGAACAGTGACCATGGGCACGTTTCACACGTGGGATCCCATCACCATCTGCTACTAAGAGCACCCCTGAGGCGACCACTCAGGGGGCACTGTTCCGCAGACTTTCTGCCTCCCCGGCCCCTGGCCAGACAAGGTAGATCTGTTCAAACCAGGAGGAACTGGGCCCCTCTGGTTTTCCAGGGGGAATTACTCCCGGGCCCCAACTGCCTGTGGGTGCCTCGGTTTCTGTTCCAGCCTGTACTAACCATCAGGACCCCCATCCTACCAGCAGGGGTACTATACAACCAATCATCCCCCGCATAGCAGGAATGATGGTGGAGCACCCCTACTGGACACTGATAAGAACAGATACTACACTTGATCTTAGCCAAAAGGCCATAAAGCCGACCATACATGAATCGAAAGTCAGCTGGTTCAGCAGGGACTGGCCAAACTTTGATCCATGTATGAGCTAGTTGGTAGTCACAAGACGATCTATTGACTAATGGAGATGTGGTTTCATCTGCATCTGTATTCTGGCAAAGGCCTACGTATTCCTTACGCCACCTTTCAGTCTGGTGCATTGGCATACCCATGTCCATGCTATAGTTTGCTGTCCATTATTTTAAAACATACTAAAACTTTAGTGAAACATCAGCAACACTATTGGATAGCCATAAGATTAGGACAACCCTAGGTTCCAGCACTACCTATCCACTCTCCTAAGCAAACAATATAATCCTGGCAGAGGATCTAAATCTTCTCCACTCTATTCAACACAAAAAAGCTTTGTCTGGAGATACACTATCAATTCTCAAGGATTCCAATGGAACTATTAACTCAGCCCTCAGCTTTACAGGAATCTCACTTTTGTTACTGTATAACAAAGAGGGAGATCTCATAACAGCTATGGCAGTAGTAAAAAAACGAGAATTTAGGTGCAAAAAACTTTAGCTGGCCACACACATTTACAATCTATGTGTACAATTTGATATTACACTTACCAATGTAGTACACGAGCCTTCACAAACAATCAATTCAAGTTACATCCAATTAGGTAGGCCCTAACATTGCATGGTTGTTGGGAGATCTAATTTTGGCCACACACACACACCAAGTCACCATACAATTATTATTATTATTTATTATTATTGCTATACAGGATTATATAGCGCCAACAGTTTGCTCAGCACTTTACAATATAACGGGAGACAATACAGCAACAATACAGTTCACTACAAGAGGGATAGGAGGGCCCTGCTCCTTGGAGCTTACAATCTAGGAGATCATCTCTTCCATCTCTTTACTGAATGGTAAACTCACTTGCAATAAGCTGATCATTTTCTGTGTCAAACTGTGTTGACTGCTCCATATTTTGAGCTATTGGGCTACAAATTATCTGAATTTTCAATTCCATCCCATCGCTTTAGGCCTTATTCATACAGACGAACTTATGTGTACATCCGTGCAATCAGCCAGCTTTGCCCAAATGGGATGCACGAGTTTTCAGTGCATCCGCATGCAGGCAGTCCCCTTCATGTCAACTGGGATGCAGCGGCTGCACAAACACAGCTGCTTGTACCAAACTGACAGCCTGAAGGTGCGGTATGTGTCCCTGAATGCACACGGTCAGCTGCTATATCCCAATAGATATGAATGGGACTGCCTGCATGCAGATGCATGGAACACCTGTGTATCCAATGCATGCAAAGGTGGCCCTTAACAAATGTACGGATAGGTATGCCTTTGTGAATGAGGCCCTTTTTTTTAACCAGAAAACCGTAAGAAAAAACAAAAAAAAACAAAAAAAAACAATAAAATGATCATTTAATTAATGAACTGGACAGAAGAAAAAGGAGATTGTGTGATCAGATTGCAAAGTGTGTGTCCAATGCCCCTGCTGGTCTGAGATATACAGATGTACCTCGGTTTACAAATTTAATGCTTTCTCTGGGACGCTTTGAATTCAAAAAATTCGTAAACTGAAAGGCGGATTCCCATAGGAATGCATTGAACAGCAATGAATCAGTTCAGGAGGTCAGAAAAAAGTTAAAAAAAAAAAAGGCTTTTATCTGTTCAAAACTCTTTATAAAGTGCACTTTAAAGGGATAAATACTGTACAGGGACATGATTAAAAATTTCCAGAATGGCTCCAAAACTCAATGCAAAAACCGCTCCTACACTTCCACACGGGGCCGGCGCTATAAACCTCCCAGGCGCAATTTATCGTTGGGGAAACTTGCTTTGCATTGTGAAAAAAATTAGTTAATTCACTGAAAATCAATTAATCCGTTCCAGAGGTCAGAAAAAAGTAAAAAAAAAAAAAAAAAAAAAAAAAGGTCTTATCTGTTCATAACTCTTTAAAAAGTGCACTTTAAAGGCACGGAGCTGGCCCTATAAACCTCCCAGGTGGAACCTGGGAGAAACTTGCTTCGTATTGCGAAACAAAATTGGAAACCAAGGCATTATTTTCAATGGATTTTCATTCATAAATTGAAAATTACATTACCGAGGCGTTTGTAAACCAAGGTACGCCTGTATAATCCGGTGGGAGATGCTTCTCAACCCAAATCTGAAATATCAGCTTCAACTATGAAAAACCGTTTATTTAACATATTGCAAACAGAAGACATGCCCTTTATTCTGGCTCAGAGTGCAAAGTACTCAGAGATGTCAATGTTCAGCCTTGTACCTGGGTGTCCCAATAACGGGACACTGAGCCCACTGAGGCATGACAATGGCACAAGCCAGCAGTGAATATTCATACAGCCCGGCCTGAGGCCATTAACATGATGACATGAAGATGCTGCAGTGTGTTTGTCACTTTATGGGTCATTTAACACAACTGGCTGCAGGCGGCTGACAATGAAGTACTTGTGACAGACTAATCACTGAACTCGTCTGAAAGGAGGTTTATGGTCTGCTGGTCAGGGGCCCCTGTCCCATCAGGTGCTGGCTCTGTAGTATATTGGTGATCCACTGTTGGCAATACAATGTTACACTTACCATGTTCAGCAAAATTGACACCGTGCGGCTCTTTCTCTTGAAACATGGAAGCCAGGTAGTCAATTTCAGAATCTGGAATGTTGTAGGCCACTGCAAAAGCAAAAATAAACATGTCAAAAAGGAGAAAAGGATAAACCCACAAACATTAAGAAAAATTATATATCATATACCGTCTAAAGAGAACCTGCCATGAAAGAAAAAACCACTAATCCCACCATAGATCCAATGCTTACCTTTACTGCAGCTCCAACCCAGGAGCTGTCCTTTTGGAATCCCAGTACTTCTGGACAGGGCCAGACTGGGACAAAAAATAGGCCTGGGCAATTTAGACTGAACAGCCCGAGCCCGGGGGGCCCTTCCCTTAGAACCTGGTAGCAGAACACCAGTGCAATCTTTGTGACTCTGGTAATTCCACCATTGGTTTCAGTAGTTTTTTTATTTTTATTTTTTTACCATGCTATTTTATTTATTTTACTATTTTATTTTTTATTATTTTTTTACAATTCTTCAGGAGCTCCATTGAGGGGCTTTTGTAAGATATCAGGGGTGTAAACAGAACCCTGACATCTCACCTTTGAGACAGAGAGAGAGGAGATTGAGGACTCAATCTCCTTCCCTGCAACCTCAGCAGCACAGAATGAATGGACAATAGCTCTGTACATAAATTCTCGTTCATTCATAAACTGAAGTATAGTAAACACACTTTACTATGCCTCAGTTATGAATGGAAAAACAAGGTACTTAATTGGGGTACAGCGCATAAATACACCACATAACAATACAGTCTCAATCATACAATAAATACATTCACCCTGCAGTACGATGCCTAACATGACGCGGGGAGCAAAAGTTCCTCGAACTATCATGTCATGCATGATGCTGCTTACCCTGAAACCGTTTTGTGGCCCCTTAAAGTTCCACCGGAGTACCTAGTAACACGTTGTCAGACGTGCAGTGCCTGGGTTAGACCCCTGTCCCACACGTCCTACATAGCACCACAGCATAAACCATGGCATGCACAACAAAATGTTTCAAACATTACAAATAAATACTTCAATAAGCAATGGATGTGATGGGAGTAGGAAAGAGGGATGAGGGAGGGGAAAAAAAAAAAAAAAAAAAGAGTTCACAGGCCCAAAGCTTTATTGAAAGGACAAGGACACGTAAGGGACAGTGGGGGAAAGGGCGGGGTCTAAGAGCAGACTGTGGACCAGTCTGCTACAGTCCACAATGGGCATCCTCTCCCTCTGGGGGATGAGGAGCTTCCTGGCGCACCATAAAGCGTCCTTGAAGCAACAAAGCACCCGTCAGGCGCCATCAATGTCCTCCTGAGTAAAAGTTCCAAGAAAAGTTTGTACAGCACATGGCTGCATGTGGAACAAAGTCCTTGAGTTCTGGTTCCAAGGCCCCCAACAAGTCCTGAGCAAAAGGGGGACTCCCAGAAAATGTGCAGAGCAGTTTCCTTCTGGATGATGCAAAAAGGGCAGTGTCTGTATGTGCTCAGATTCCTGGCAAGCATAAATGTCCTGAATGGCAACCCCCCTTGGATCGTTATCTATGCCAAGTCCTTGTGCCTGTTGGTGAGTCTCTTTGAAGAAACATTCCTCCAGACCACCTTTCAGGTGGCTGAAGGCAGGTCTTGAACAGACTTCATAATGTCCTTGGCTCTAATCACCTTGTAGATAGTCTTCGGTTTCCACAAGTCAGGCTTGACTCCATGCAGCCCCTGCACCTTGATAAACTTAAAAGTGTCCTAGTAATACCAAGGAGTGTCCCAATTGTATGGGATAGAACTGTCCCATCTGAGGGACCTCCAGAGGGGCAAGAAGCAAAAACGTGACATGGAGTTTCTGCAAGAGTCCATTGTTCTCTTCAGCAAAGTCCTGCAGATGCAGTTGCAGGCAAAGAACACCCTCAGTTGAGTGGCGATGTCAAGCACACCCTTACCGCCTTTGAGGGGCTCCTTGAACATGATTGCCAACTTCCCTCTGTTAATATTGGAGCCCCAGATGAAGAAAAACACTGCCCTGGTGATGGCCTTGCAGGAGTTGACCCTTCCCCACTCCATCCTGACAGATCTCCCTCAACAGAGATGAAGGAGGCTGGGAGAGATCACGCAGGGCCTGGAGAGAACACAGGGGGACCAAGCGAGAGGACAGAGGTCAAGGGGTAGCAGAAAGAAGATGGAAAGGAGGGACAGCATATGGAGGAACCGAATTGTCCATTTCTCTCTTGCAGCCACTGAATGCCCGCAGGAGGCAGAGGAGGACAAAAGGGCATTCAGCAATGCCAGGAGGGAAATGGACAAAACGGTTCCTCTATATGCCACTCCCGCTGCCCCATCCGGCGGACCGGGCCCACCGGACAAGTGACTGGCGTGCCCTATCGTCAGTCCAGGCCAGCTTCTGGGTATGGAGGAGCATATTGTTTAGGGCCAGTTACTAGGTCTCTTGCTGCCATCGGAAGTGTGCATTTGTCAAAAATACCGGGTACCAATGACAACTGTTAGGAGCTTTCAGGGGCTGGTAAATACTGGATACAGAGGGGGCCTTGTACACGGGAACGATGATTGGTTAGCTACTAGACCAGTTTCATTTATAAAACATGATCCATATCTAACATGAATACTATCAGACTTCTTAATCTGGCCCTAGTGGAGTAAACCAAGACACCATATCCCTGAACTGACAAATGCTTAAAAAATGAAGCAGAGATGGGATTTTCAAACCGTCACCCGTTTCCTACATTTATAAATATGACAAATGGGGTGAAATCTCATCTCTGCTTCATTTCTAAACATAATAACCTGCAGCCAGTTAATATTCCTAAAACCACCAAAATACTGCTTGTGGTATTTTCAAAATATCTAAAAGTGCAGCGCTATGATGAATAAAAATATGGCAATATATTCAAGCTATAAGTCTTAAGTGCACAATGTATAAATAAAGTGCTATTCCTGCTGTCGCACGAAATGCGTTGGATGGAGCCACATTGCTTTTGTCTCCTGGGCAAGGAGTGGTGGCCATTTTGGTACCTGTTATTATTTTCCATGTGGATTACTTTGATTTATGTATACCTACTTTTTAACTAATAAATACTACACTACCTTTGGCTCCTGTGGTTGAGCAATCTTCCCCAGATTTAAAGAGGCACGGACCACCGGTACTGTGAGGATGCTGGATTAAGCTGTTCTACTATCCCTGCACCCAGATGTGAGAGATTGTAACCAATGCCTGTATACATCAAAGTTCTGGTGAGTGCACACCCATCAGAAGTGGTGGATTACCTTTACAGACACATGCACTATTGCACCTAGATCACAGGATTATATCGCAGAATTGAAGAAAGACTCCTGTTGAATTATCCTTTTATTTATTTATTGAAATCAGAATGAATATTATGGACATTTATTGATTTCTTTCACTTAATGCACAGATTGCAAAAATAGCACTTTATTTATACATTGTGCACTTAATACTTTATAACCTGAATATATTGCCATATTTATATTCATCATAGCGCTGCACTTTTAGATCTTTTGAAAACGTCAATTGGGATTGTTGCCTATGCCCTTTAGTGCTAGCAGCTACCTTGAATAATTGCTTTATATTTGCTTTTTATGTGTATGCGCTCGCTTGTATATTTCTTTGATACTGCTTGTGGTATGGTAACAATCAGTGTTCAATACATTGACTGTACAGAGAACTCCCCCACAGACCTGATTATCTGCTTGTGTGACTGTCCCAGAAGTTAGTAGAGAGCAAGATATCAAATTACCTAATTAGACATCCTCTGCAACAGGACTTTCATTGCTTTCAAATGCTAAGCCAAGTTCAATAGGCTGTATAGGCTGTATTGTTCTTAAAGTGTTACTGTAGAAAATACAATGGCAAACAAGCAGGATTTGTAATGCAGGAATGACATACTGGGGGTGCTTTAATTAAGGCACGCTCTGCAAGAGCAGTTGCACTCTGAATTTGTTCCAGAGCTTAGGAAATGAAGTAGAGCTGCACTATGCAAAGAATAGTCAATCACATGTAAGGAAAATTAAAAAAAAAAAAAAAAAGTTTTTGCTTGCACATAATTGGATAAAGAAAGTCAGCAGAGCCTCGCCTCATTTATTAAGCTCTGGAGAAACTGCACTTGCAAAGTGCTCAGTCTATTTGCCTTTAGGAAATCAACCTCATTATGTCTCTTTTGAATTAAAGTTTTTGGCTCCATGTACACGGGACGTTTGGGAAACACTTCTGAACAATGGAAACTGATGCTGGAAAACGTAGGTTAAAAAACGTCTGTTTAGCCACGTCTGCATACCGCGTTTATGTACGTTTGCATTTAGAAGCGTTTTTTTAAAAGGAGACCTTCCCAAATGCCCAGAATGCACTGAAAAACAGTAAAAAAAAAAAAAACAATTTCAGACATTTTGAGAGAAATAGAGAGATCAGAAGCAGAGAGAGCAGTATGTGTTGAGATGACCTGTATTTTCTGGTTGTATTCACTATGGATCCCATCATGAGCATAATGCAGCACGTTCTACCATTTTTCCTTCACACAAAACCTGGAACTGACTGCGCTGGTGTACCGGGTCCATTTGAATACATGGAAAATGCTTTGAACGCATTTCTGATGATGAAAAAAGGCTCTGGACAGCATCTGGATATGGAACAGTTAAAAAAACATTTCTAAACGCAAACCTTATAAACGTGGTTAGCTGGGTTTACAAGCATTTGGCATTTGAAATGCTGATAAAATCTACTCCTGAACGCAAGTTTGGTGAGTTAAAAAAAACGACTATAAACGACTATGTGTACATGGACACATAAGAAAACGTTAGGGAGAGTTTAGGGGCTGCTGAAAAAAATGCAGAAAAGCTCCTAAATGGGAGTTTATCAGCATGAACCCTTTAACCTGCCAGACTGTACACTGAACTGCGCATGCACAGCTCAGTGTACAATTTTGGCAATGCTGAGATGAATACATGCGGTACCTAGAAGCAGACCAGCCTAAGATTTCAGAAGCAGGCAAGAAGCTCTGGGACACCTCAAGCTGGAGAGAAAGTGAGTGCAGTTCTGCTTTAACGTGAACGAGAGAA